ATTCATGGAAAATGTTGATTTTGCAATACTGTTCTCTATGGCCTTTTTTTCAATGGGTACATAGATACATAATTAGGTTTAAATAATCCATATTGGCATGTTATTAAATTTAGAAAACTGGTTTCAATCAATATTTTAAGCTTTTGTAAATTCCTTTCATTTAATTTTGTATTTAGTACCAGGCCCTTTCCCCCTTACAGTAGCATACTGTTTATACATTTGTTGATAATTATGAATGGTCCATACTGTGCAGGGAATATCCACCTTATGTTTTGGAATTTCTTTTGTGAGTCTTTCACATCTATTAAATTCGTGTAAAGTTAAATCTAATACTGTACTGTAATAGTATATAAAAATATATAAAACTTTTTCTTTCATCTACCCTTATCAATATCGCTTACAGTACCTTGATGTTATTTAATATATTTATAATATTTTATATAGGCCTGCAATTTACTGTATACTGTAAAATTATTTTTATAAATCTTTATATGTTTGCACAATACCACTAGTGCTACATCGTGTGACTTCATAATGCTAGTAAAATTCAATGCAGTTTATTCTTTTAAGATATTGAATCCAGTTTTTTTTCTACTTTTAGATGATGCAATGCAAACATTATTTTAGTTTTGTTGTTTGACCTGTTATATATATGTTTAATATGTGGTAAATAAAGATCTTGAGAATGAATACATTTTGTTGGGATTTCTGTACAGTGGGTTCAAACATTTCATGTTTCCTGCCATGAACTACCAAAACACATTTGTACATTACAATCATCTTGTAGGCCTATGATTTTTTGTTTTTACACTTTTTTTTTGATTCGTGAAAACAATTTTTTAGTGATCGAACGATATAAAAAAATTATATTCAGTGTTATTTTCAAGAGAAGTGCTGTGAATTTCTATGAAAATTAATTTTATCAGCATTATTTTCTATAGAAATGCTGTTCTTTTTTTCCTATAGAAAATATATATCAGCATTATTTCTATAGAAATTCTGTACATTTCTATAGAGAATAATACAGTTTTCCTTAGAAAATATATTATATCTGCAATAATTTCTATAGAAATGCTGTTATTTTCCATAGAGATTTATATAGTTTTCTATAGAAAAAATTATATCTGCAATAATTTCTATAGAAATGCTGTTATTTTCCATAGAGATTTATATAGTTTTCTATAGAAAAAATTATATCTGCAATAATTTCTATAGAAATGCTGTTCTTTTCTATAGAAGTATTGTGAATTTCTATAGAAAATAATAGTTTTCTATAGAAAAGAAATTATAACAGCATTACTTTCTATAGAAATGCTGTTCTTTTCTATAGAGGTATTGTGAAATTTTATAGAAAATAATAGTTTTCTATAGGAAAGAAATTATAACAGCGTTACTTTCTATAGATTTGCTGTTATTTTCCATAGAGATTTACAAATATATAGAAAAAATTATATATTTGCAATAATTTCTATAGAAATGCTGTTCTTTTCTATAGAAGTATTGTCAATTTCTATAGAAAATAATAGTTTTCTATAGAAAAGAAATTATAACAGCGTTACTCTCTATAGAAACACTTGTTATTTTCTATAGAAATGCTGTTAATTTTTATAGATTCTTATAGAGAATTAAGCCACTTTTCTTTAGAAATTGTATAGAAATCCTTTAGAAATTTTATAGAAATCATTTAGAAATTGTATAAAAATTCTTTAGAGATTGTACAGAATGTTTTTATATATTTTCTATAGAATTTGTTTGAAATATTCTATAGATACTCTATAGAATACTATATAGAAAATCTATAGAATTTTCTTTATAGAATTCTATAGAAAAATATTATATAGTTTGTTTTTAGCTTCATATTTTTCTTTATTATGATTTTATTTTTGTTTTTTCAGGCTTTTTTTATAATTTGCGTAGTATTTTTTATTTTGTAAATTCAACATCAGGTTTCATTATGGCAATGAGGAAAAGCTGTACCCGTTTTAGACACAGTAACTCTAGTTAATAAAATATTTTTGTTTCTTCCTTGCTGTGACAATTATAAATAATGTGGGAATTTGAATATTTTCATAACATGAATTACATTGTGTAAAACAGTATTTCTGCATTACCATTTTTGTATAGGCCTACTGTGTAATTCTCCTTTACTGACTCATATGATAACATTGTTTATTACCATCTGTTTTAGATGGAGTGCTGAGTGTGTACATAAATGATTATGTAATAGCTACCCATTGTTTTACTGGTGAAAGTTGGACATACGATTTACTCTCCTATCTAGGGGCTTTAACTAAGTAGTTCTTATCGTTTAATTATCCTAGAGGATGAATATTTGGGTTAGCATTAAGTTATAAGGTTCTTTAGCTTGGGTTCTCCAAACCACGAGGCATTACCAAGTCGATGTTTGAATGGTAAGGAGTGAGCTGTGGTTTGTCTTGCATCAGGGACGTATCCAGGGGGGGAGCCGTGGGAGCTGCGGCTCCCCCCCTTTGTACACAGTGTTAAAATTTTAAAGCTTATTCTTGAGCCAATACAAATTCTTTCCTGGGATCTCTTAAAATGAATACTTCTGAACATGTAAATATGCATCAGTACACGTTATACATAGGCCTAATAGAACACATAAGCCTAAGCATGATTTAAAAAAAATCTTAAATCCATAAATCTCAGGCCAGGTCTTTTAAGATAGAAATGCGATACTGTGGTTCAATTTTGTTTTTATTCTTTTGCAAGTTTCTTTAAATGTTTGTTTAATAATACTACTACTAATAGTAATAATAATAATAACAATGATGATGATGACGATAGTAATAATTGATATTAATATTAATAACAATAAAAAGTGAAGAAAATTGTGCTAAATGCGAAAAAAAGTTGTGATTTGTTGATTATAATATAGTACAGTATATATAGTTAAAGCTTAGTAAGCTATAATTAGGCCTAAGTTGTCCTGGATATTAAGTAGATTCCTGATAAAAGATCATGAGAAATTTGTTGGCGTTTCATTTTGACTATAATGGTAATGTGATGATGATGAATTTTATTATATAAAAGTGTTATTTCCGGCCATCTCGAGAGGTACTATTTCCTCAAATTTTCTCACCTCAGCCCCAGCCATGGGGCTGAGGTGGTTGTGAAATCACGTTTTTGAAGTAGGCCTATATAAAGTACATACTCAAAGACAATGTTTTTAAGCTTTGTTTTCTATGGTGTATACACACACATTAATAAGATCTCTATGGTTGACAAAAACCCCTGATAAAAGATCATGAGAATTACTTTTGGCGCTTCATTTTGACTAATGGTGATGTGATGATGATGAATTTTACTAAAAGTGTCATTTCTGGCCATCTAGAGGTACTATTTCCTCAAATTTTCTCACATCAGCTCCAACCATTGTGGGGCTGGGGTGGGTGTCGACTTACAAAATGCCCTCCCCCTCCACCTTTCAAAACAGATCTGTGCCCTTCCCATGGGTATGACATTAAACTCCATCGAGCTGGGTCCTGATGTATGTCTTAGTGACTGCTGTTTGTTTTTAGGATGTGATCTGGTTTTTCATGTCCATTTTTCGTGATTATGACTATTCTGGATAAAGACTGTTTTGAGCAGAGGTGGATTCAAGGCACCCCTCTTCATTTTTTAAGGAAAAAAAAGGAAAAATATATTCAAATTGAAGTGCGAGAGTGTAATTTCCGGCCATCTAGAGATGCCCTAATAATAAATTTTCTTACCTCAGCCCCAACCATGGTGGGGCTGAGGTGGGTGGTTCCTCGGTCTGTGAAAGTCCCTCCCTGGTTCACCTCTCTTTCGAATTCCTGGATCTACCACTGTTGATTTATTATACTAGTGTATAATTATTATTTCGCTTATAATGCATCTATTGCAATTTTCACTTTATCCTCTCAAACAGTCCTAAGAACGTTCAGAGTGCGCTACTTCACAGGGGGATTCGCCCCCCCCTTGACCCCGCCGGGGGTCATGCGTAATTCGCATAACGGCTTCCCCCCTTTCAAAATCCTGGCTACGTCCCTGTCTTGCATAAAGACCTTGTTTTATGCTGAGTTTGGGTATGTTTAACATTTGTTCTACTATGATTTGATTATGTTAAATATTATTTGTATTCTACAGTTGCATGCATAGTGATTGTAACTGATTATGTAGGTTTGTAATTATGATACTTGTTTTACCCATTAATTACTATTTAGTTAAATATTTAAACATTATGAAGTAATTCTCTTAAAGAATGACCGAAGCACTTATGCAGACTGTTTTAATTATGTGATCTAGTGGTATTTGAGTACTACAGTATTATCAATTACTATGTCAGTATAGATTTGTAGTATTATATAAAGTACACTTTAGTTATTATTAACCTGTTAATTTTATACTTGACCATGCCTTCAGCATTGGTAGACTATGTTGGTGGTGCTAGAACTAACATAGGTGGCGTCTTATGGTAAACAAAGATCCAATATGGCAGCGCCCATGGCTTTGCATATTATTGTATGCTAATACTAATAGGTATACGTTGACTAGAACTTTACTTTATACTATGTTTATTCATGATGATAAATTAATTAAATATTAGAAATAAGCTGGGACAATTGTTTGATTTGTTTTTAGCAATTTGAGGAAACTTATTTACAAGTTTATGAAAGAGTTAGTGTATGAGGCTATCGAGTTAGACCTGAGACTGGGTAAGTCAAGGGTAATGGCCGATTGTTGAATTTATTTTGATAGTATATTTATTATACTTTCATAACTACTCCACTTGAATATTACTTTATTTAATATTTAACATTTTGGATAGAGATTAATTGTACATATATTCAATATTTACTTATGTCTATCATTTTCTTTGAAAACTGAAGATTACTTCCCATACATACTGATTAGATGGATTCAGACAATTTGGTCATATTAAGGAAGACTTACTTTATTACTATTCTAATGGATTATTAACAGATTACTTTATGATATTTTATATGACGTACTCATGATAGAAGTTATGAGTTTGACTATGTATTGTGTATTATCGATGATATGTTATGTTTTAAATTATTTAATATTGAATTATTGATTCGTAATTTAAGGAGACCACATTACTTTGATGATTTTAATGAGGTGCGATGAAAGATAGAATGTTAAGTTACTTTCCTTTCATCCACAGGGGTCTTTGTTGTTTCTTTATATTTGTTATGTTAAGCTGAGTATTACTGTATTCAAAGAGCTTCACAAGATTGACTTTACTGTCTAAAATAAAGAACTCCTATCAACTCAAGTCGCATTGCATCGGTGTTATTAATTTTGAAGTGGTGTCCTGACAATACATCCATCCGAGTGATAGAGATAGCAATTCGCGACAATAACACAAATGCCAGGGCCATGGTTTTTATGCAACATAGTTGATGAAGAGTTTCTGTAATTGCACAGATGTCCTGTAAAAAAAAAAAGAGTACCCTAAAAGTATATCGGGATATAGTAAATTCCTTGCATTAGTGGCCATCAGTAAAATGCTATATTCAAACAACAAGTGAC